CATGGAGATAGTAATATTGGACAGTTACATATAAATGTGCCATGAGAAAGAAATCTTCGTAATTGCGACAAGGGGGAGATCCGCAAAGTTTTTTAAGATCACAAACAAACTGGGTTTAAAGGTTTATATGGATTTTTACCATCTGCTGATGATCTTGATAACTATATTTTCATATGTGGATTTTTTCCAATGTGTTAAACGTGTATTGTATTTACATAAGAATCAATACATGTTAATCGCTACTTATTAGCATAGTACATTAGCTTAATCAACAATTTAATGTCCCAACTGTTTACCGCTACCTAACGTTGGCGAGAATTCATTCACGATAACACCTACTGAGACTTGTAATTTTAGAAGTACTAACTCTATACACTGGAAAACTTCTTTTGAACTCATAATCGACCGTCCACGAAATTTGTATTTTCTTAACTTTCAGGCTTCCATGTCGGTTGTCCATGGTTAAACAGTATCGTCAGTTTAGACTTCTTAACTTTTCGAGAGGCGCATCATTATCTTCTTCAAAAGAAACTCACAGGTACTAAAACCGCCTGGCATGGGTCTGTTATGGTTAATTATTTGAAATAGAATGGAAGAAATGTAATGTGAAATTATAATAATACAATGTAACATACGAACCTCAACTTCAGTTTATTTATTCTTTCTCTTAGTGATACCCTAGCACATTATCAAATGAAAAAGGATCACGAAATTTGAGGAAGAACAACGTGCCGTACAGACCCGAAGGAAATCTGCTAGAGAACTAATGAAAACTAATTATCTTATCGTGACCAAACGAAGGAATTTTATGAAATACAGGTCAACGTACTCATCTGTAGTTTGATCAGCCACTCACTTAGCATTCTTTTAAAATTCTCATATCTGTTCAATAGGGATTAATAGGGATTAATTCATTGTTTCCTAAGGTATATTTTCGTACAAATAATAAGTTCAAAACGTAGAATCATTTGCTTTCGTCAATAAAGATAAATTGTTTGGAAAAGGGGACCATAAACTCACAAGCTGAAAACAAGTTAACAAGTTAAAACAAGTCTTATGATCTATCGTCTTTTGTTTCTAAGAAACAGGGGGTCAAATATGATTTTTTTTTTAAATAAAATTTTAGCCATCTCTTTTCCAAAAAACAATGGAATGCAATAAAATTTGATATAGACAGATTTTTTATGGTGTCGTGTACTTACGTCAGTGTGTCATCTGTTAAAGGTCGTTACCTACGATTTTTTCCAGTGGCATAACTTTTTTGATATTAAATTCTTTAGATATAGTGTCATATATTACATGAAATTTCATTTTATTTAAAAGGTAATATTGTTGAAGTTGCTAAAAATGCACTGTTTTTTGAGAAAAAATCTCTTTGTGTTTATCAGCCACTGAATTTATTGTACTCTCTGTGAATAATTCGATAAAATAAATAAATACAAACTGTAATAGAAATGATATCACAAATTTTAAGGAGTCGTTAATATTCAAATTTAAAGAGCTCTAAATAAAACAAGGAATTTGGAACACAATTTTTAATTACCCATTACCCAAGATGTAGACTTCAAACTTTCCTTGTAGTAGTTACCTGCATGTAAAATCTGACAGTGTCGAAATTAGGAGGAAATTAGGAAGAGGTTTTAACTGTCAAAAAAAAATCACATGGAATATTCTCTTGCCACTTTCAATCAAAACTTTTATTTCTACTGATCTGTTAGAATAAACTATACATAATTAAAAATGCATGTGTGGAGTGGTGAAAGAAACACGACAATAATGACATTACCTGATAGCCAGAGCAATCAACATCTTGTTTTCATCGCCTACTGAACTCAAAGTTTTAAATCCGTGACATTGCTACGCAAACCGAAACATACAAATCTGCAAATAACGCCATTTTTCTCAAGAATGGCTTTCTGTAGGCGATTTTCTCAAGAGACAATATATTTTTTAAATGAATCGACCTTTTCAATGCTGCTGCCAGTTTTAAAAAAATACAACTACTGTAAAAGTTTTGACCGCTAAAAGGGAGAGATAACCGGAGAAAACTATCACCCAGTATATTGATTCGACTAAAGCTTTAAGAAATAATACGCCATAATAGTCCAAATAAATATGCCAAATTTTAACGCAATCGGTAAAAGAATTATGAAATTATTAATTAGATTAGTTTTATTTTTGACAACTTTGAAGGCCTGTAACTCAAAAACCAAAAAGTTTTTATTTAACTTTTTTTCGTAGATCGTATTTATTTATCGTCCTGAATATGCAGTCAAACGTTGTCGGTGAAATTTGCGGATACCCTGTATACCCAGCTAATTGTAATGATTTTGTTGTAGAACTAATGATTGGGGAACTAATGAAATGATAGAAATAGTACAACAGGATATTTATTCAAATTATTTGAATAATGCATAATATGCTTAAACACGAGAAGTCAAAATTCAGTTGCAGCTTCTTCAACAGAAGTTGATCTCTTTTAAAAAGCCTAAGTTTTTGAAACCAATATGAAAATAGTAATGGTTGTATAAGCATGGCAAATTCCGTTTCTCACAAAAGGTATCGACGTAAAACATCATTTTTCTCGTGAATAGATCAAGAAAGCATTAATAAATTATTCTTGAATTTATCCCAACAGAACAACAGTTAGCAGACATCCCAACAAAACCTCTACCAGTTCGAGGATTTTTGGAACTAAAGACACAGCTATGTTTGGAATGAACTAATGTGATTTGATCGGGTTTTTCCGGGGCTTTTCTTAATCCTAACAACTAATATTGGACCACCAATTTTCCCCAGAAATTCCTTTAAGTTCATATTTTTTTATTAGTCGATTAATTTTTAAGTGCAAGTATATTTACCTAAGTAAATACAATAAAAATGAATCGACTCGTTGTTCAGTATTTAATATTTACAAGCGTCTAGACTTTTGAATTGCCTGAAGTCGATACACTTTTATAAGTGCTGACAGAATTATTAAGTTCTGGGACTTAGACGAGCAAATAAGCTGTTTGAGTTAGTTGAATATGTGTTAGATATATTGATTAATATAAATGCTCATATAAGAGGCATATCTGTCACCTTTGAAGTGTCATGTGCGAAACGCAATCTAGGCAGTGGCGGCTGGTGTGGGGGGTTCTGGGTCATAGTAAAAAAAGTTAATATATGTAATCTACATAATTAAATAGATTAACCTTATAAAACACATCAAAAAGGAAATGTTAAATTTATATTGTACAGTCAGTTTGACTCGACTTGCAAAACTCGTGGGCCCCTCGTAGCTCGCCTCAACATTTGTAAAGTATTTACAGCGGTGGTCATGGTTACCGTCGCGCAGCAGAGAAAGACGGAGGCGCATATTTACTATGCAATTTGGTCTCTGTTTAGTCCGACCATAACCAAGTAATACCTATTTACCACTTCTTTTCTAGGGCGTACAAGAAGCTTTTCCATCTCTTCTTGTTTTTTGCCAACGCTTTTACGTCCTTTAGCACTTTCCCATATTATTCAGTTCCTCGTTAGTACTTCTTCGCCAACTCGTTTGTAGTCTTCCTCTTCTCCTTTGGCCTGCTGTGGTCCAGTTGCAACTTTGGTTGTGTCATCATCACGTTTTCTTAATGTATGTCCTATCCAGTTCCATTTACGTTTCATTATTTCACTTTTTATTGGTTCTTGTTTGGTTTGACTCCATAATTTGTTTAATTGTGGTGTAAAATTTTGTTACTTACATATTATTTCTTGTGTTTTTTAAAAAATTGTAAAAGGTTAAATTGATTGTAGCACTAGCAAAAATCAATGGTGCGCGAAATATAAACTTTGTAATTGAAAAGTTTATTTTGGACAAAAGTAGAAGAATGGACTTTCACTATAAACAAAATGTTGCGTACATTTTGCCTATATTTCAATAGTACTTAGAATAGAATTACAGATATTTGATTTTTTTTCAGTACTTTGTACCTACATTTTTCCGCCCTTTCTGGTGTGGAAGTCAAGAGCTGCCACTGAATCTAGATGGTATAGTCTTTCCGAAGTCAATTGAACATGTACAAAAATGCCTGGCAATAAAATTTAATGACTCATAGGCGTCCCTAAGAAAGTTTTCTGCTAAAGGTAAAAAATTATAATAATTTGTATATAATGTGTAGAAAATTCCTATTATATGTTCATTTGGTCAACAACATATTTTAATTATTTATGTCCTCATTGTATTCCGTTTCAAAAGGTCTCCAAAATGTCATGTTGTAATATTATTATTTCTCCCTTTCGTAATTGTAATATCAGTTAAATTAAAATTACCTGAATTACACCAAATTCCGCATTGCTGCACTGCACTGCCAGGCGACTTGTCCACAACTGAAATTTATGACGCAGTCGACCAGAGCAACTGTGCGTGAACGCCGTTGCCCGCACGCGCATTCTTTAACTGGGCGTAATAAACTGGGGCGAAATAAATATGGGAATAAGTTTTTCACATATTTCAATGCCGAGTTGCTGCGTATCGACCGAGCCTAGTACATACTGTCAAGTTATTGGTTATTCAATTGAAATCGGAAAGACTATAATCGTTAAATAGACTTGTTTAGAAATTGACAGTAATAACTAGCTTACTATAAGAAATGGACTTTTGAAACATTATATTACAGTAATCATAAAAAAATGTTGTGTCCAACTATTGAAGAATATGCAGCATGTATTTTGTCAAAATTTTGGAATTTTAGGAATGATTCTAGAGAAAACTTTTTACTTTTTTACCGAGAGGAATCACTTCTTATATCTGTGCCACTACTATTAGATCTGTTATTCCTATAAGCAATGGGGAAGTAGTATTTTATACATTTCGACCACTGGTGGAAAAGCGATTCTCTTAAAATATCCCACTAGCAGTGCGGTGCCCAGAGATATCCGACACGGCATGACGAGCAGACCTCTCGTCGGTCTGCTGGAACTGAGCACTGAGCAGAGCCACGGCGTTCAGTAGTTACCCGATACTCGTATGATGAGGTTGGCAGTCAAACAATTCGATGTTTTGAACGCGAGGGCCAACAACCTCCGGCGATTCCAAATCATCTGTTTCGTTTTCGGTGTTACGTCGAGTGTGACTGTTTCGTGTGTTTTTTGAATTACCAGCTCTGTGAAACTGTTTTAGCGTCGTTCGCTGTTTGTTTGCGTGTAATGCTACGCAGCTTACGATGAGTTGAATTTACTTTTCTATTGCCAGAGTGATGAATTACAGTGATTACTGATACTGTTTGGATTAAACTTTGTTGGATATCTATCGAAGCTGTGTGAATGTGGAATGAGGTTAGTCTTTTCAGTACAGCTCAGCATACAACAACTCCAAATACAAATTTAACAATTATTGTAAGTGACGTTTCGAAATACTCTGATGTTGCATCTAGCAGCAAGCCCGGAGTTATATTTTATTTAACCTCTCTATTAACCTGACCTGGGAATGAATCCAAAGAGTTAGTTACAGGCAAGTTTGGCCGGCTATCGTAATTGCTGACAATATGCTAGTGTGTCTTCAACAGTGGAACAAGAAGAAAGATTAAGTCCTATGCCAATTCCTTAGTCTATTGTTTAGTCACTTGAAGTACTACAATCAGACATCATCAATTTCATAAGTGGTATTTTTTCTACCTCACAACATTTAGTTCAACTAAATATTTGTATTATTGATTTAACTTCCGTGTCACATTATATCAATAATAGATTCGTTATAGAATGACTAACAAGGTTTTCCTGTTTGGTAATGGGAATTTAGTTAGAAGTTTTGGAAATTAATTCTATTGATTTTATTACCATTTTAGTGAAAACATTTATTGCACAGTCGATACGGTATACCATCTTTGATCTTGACAACATCTGTCACATAAATAAACGAGTAGTTTTACTGTTTTGGACAGCTGATAACGACATTTGGTTAAAAGACAGTGTTCTACTTAGCCGTCTACCAGGCGATATATTTTTTCTGTTGGGACTGCTAAACCATATTATTTCTTTCCTAGTGGTACCGTGTCTATTTATAGCAATCGTGGTTGCAGTTTATGATCGTCATGCGTTTATCATTATAATTGTTATTGTTATTACGGTATGTTCACCCATTTAGCCTACGTGACGCTGGATAACGAATGTAACAACAAAAGTCGATTGCTCATGATTAGATATGCGATTATTGGGTAATCGAGTACAGATATCAGGATTTTTTATAGAATTTACTCGGGACATTTTTAATACAGAGTGAGAATCCAACTGAATTTTGCATTTGATCGGTTATTTATTTATAAAAATAATATAGCTCTGAAATCCAAATGTTGTCATTAAATTTGTAGGTAAAATGGTCCGTATTTTTTTTCTAAACTTTCAATTTCTCTTTTATAATAATAAATGGAGCATCAATATGTTCATAAAACATGAACAAATCCAAAAATAGCGTTGGAATAAACAACTGCCCTTATTTTTTATCAACACTAGTTAAAAAGTATGTCAGAATTTAAATTATAGGCATTGATTGTGCTAAAAAAAAACAAACAAAAAATAAGCAAAATGTATACATTTTAAATCCAAATGAATAAATTATTAGTATTAAAAGTATTAAAAATATTGTTGAACCGTAGGTATTTCATTTTTGTCATTTTGTCATGAGTTTTTTCTACTTGTGAAAATATCCTATAAACAAAATCTAGAGCGTGTTTGAAAATTAGTTTGTAATTTATTGTAATGTGTGATTTTTTAAGAAGTTATACCTAAATATATACTTTGATCACCTTAACGATAATTTGGGATTATTTCATGTTGTTAAAAATATGTCTATTTATTTCCTGAACACCCTGTACATGCAAATTTCAAGTTCTCCATGGCAACCTTATTTCAAAGACAAATAAAATGTTTTAAGTAGGTACTACTAATAATTTTTTCCGTAAAATGAAAAATAAAAATAGTTTCTCCGTAATCCACAGCAAACTAGACTAACTCTACGTACTGGACTGCATAAGCAAATATGCAACCTACAAGTACTATTATTTTTTTTAATTATTTTATTTTGATTTTATCACGTCTTACCTATTTTCAATAAGTTTAAAATCCTTTCTTTGAATGCCCAATTATTATATAAATAAAGACTTTAGAATTTTATAACTGAATTAAGGAGATCGTAAACGTTGTTATATTCAGATTATCGAATTGAAAGTGATAAATTAACAAAAAAATGAGTCATTCGATTATAAATTCCAAACATTTACGTCACAGAAAAGATTAAGGATTTTATATGTTTGTATTATAAAATTCCTTTAAAATCTAAACACCTTTAAATTTCAGAATAAGTATAAATATTTTCTTTGTTCACTTGTAAATTTCAGGGGATTTAAGTAGGTACTAAAGATATACTTTGAGAGATATACTTGCAGCTAGCTAGTTTTATGGATATATTAGGGAAAATTAAATATAAATATTACTACGTTGACCCAATTCTCTTGCTACTTTTAAATTTCCAAACTTTCAGACACAATAAAAGTGATGCGTCATTGAAATGTTCATATATTTTTTAAATTTTCTGAAGTAAGTACCTACCAGAGAATCGAAAGTGATGTCTTATTTTAGATACATGTCGGTCTACTTCATCCCTTCTAAATGAATACCTTTCCCGTACAGTGAGTATACACTGTACCTATATTTACCTGCGTGGGTTGCCACCAAAAATGTATGATACGAAAATAGAACGTATAGTATGTAGTAAGGGTTATTCAGAGGGTAAAACAAAGAAACAGCATTTAGAACCGTTAGCCCACGCTTGCTTCCGGATCTGGTTTCCTTTAGAGAAACCTGAAATATTCCAAGCAGTATGATTTACTAAACAATAGTTTAATAGACAGTCAATGATTTTTCAAAACAATTTTGATGATGGTTTATTTCTAATTAAAAAGAAAGAACGAAATAAATTTACTTTAACGCTCGACTATTTTTTACGTGTTATGTTTTTAAATATATATTGAAATTGATTTAAATATAAAAATCGGGTAAATGGGATAATTGTAATACAATGGAGTGATGTATGTCAATTTCACTGAAATGATTCCGAATAACTGAATTTCTAGAGTGACCATCTTATTTTTAACGCCAATGTTAGACTTTTTATGCGTTTTCTTTTTCACAATCTGTCGTTGTAAATTCAGTACGCAAACGTTAAAAGATCTATTTTTAGACGAAACGGATTCAAAAGCTGCTTTCTCGTTTCATTATCTCTTCGTAGAGAGATATTGGCCCCACTATCGTGTCATGATTAAAGTTAACTAGCCACTTAAAAAACTGCTAAATAAATTTTAAACCTAAAGGCTTCGTCTAGGAAATTTTCCGATTTTCAATTTTATTTTTTATACACACGAACTACGTAGTTGATAAGGCTTTTTTTATTGAACCGCTCGCAAAGCTGCTGCGCCCTAATGCTACAGACTAGACTACAGACCACGTTCTGTTTACCGAAGCCTTTATTTATTTCTTACTTTTATGGCATTGCTTAATACCTTGTTTTACTTTTAAAAAACGAATAAATATTCCTTTTAACCAAAGTGTTCACTCAAGGGCTTCCTTGTTAAGTTGTTGTTGAGGCTGTTGTTTACTTTTTGGTTTTTCCAGACTTACGATAAGCTGTACAAGTGAGCGTAAAGAATAGACAAAGGATTTCAGTCGATTCTTGTGAAAAATTTCCAAAACAGATATCAATTTGATGTAGAGTATGAAAAAAGCATACTAAGTGATTGGAAATCCTAATCCTTAAAAAATGATAAATAATGCATCTTTTAGAATAGGTGAAATGAAAAATCAGGTTTATAAAATGAATGCCGATTTATTAGGTATATACTTTTTGTGTTAACTGTGAACAGTTACTTTTACATTCTAACATCTAACAAATTTTTTGATAATTTTACTCATTCGTGATAATATTTTAACTATAACTGAGTACTTTCACGCAAATATCCCGTTAAATAAATTCTGCAGATAAACTTGTATTTGGTGCACTTGCAGCTAAATCGGAGTAGATGTCCTCATTATTGAGTAACTCCACTCCATTCTATGATTGTCGTGCGTTGTCTTTATCTATTCCCATCATCCCATTAGGTAATCTCGTGGCGGGGTGTATGGCGCGTAGTGCTGGACGAGTGTCTGTTAATTTTGGTGAAAATTATGTTTAAATGCAATACAATAATTAAAAAATAATACAAAAAATAATAATAATACAAATACAATAATTAAAAACAGTGATATATTAAATCTCAATTATATTTTGTTAAATAAACGGATAAGATTAAATCATATTAGAGAAAAAGTCAACTTTTAATTGGTTTTACATACTCGGAATAGAGTCAAAATTCACTCATACTTCTGTTAGAATAGTTTCACTCATAAAATTTTAGTTGTGCTCATATTAATAGAATAGAGTGAAAATTTCACTCAATCGGGTGTGGACAGAAATTGATACATTATTGAGTAAAATTGAGTGAATTTGAATGATTTTTTTACAGTGTATAGTCGACTAACTCAGCTTTTTGCATCTTTAACTGATGATATTGCACTGTGCGGGTTACTTGCCCTGACCAGTATTGAATTATATCAGTCATTCGGATTTAGTCTTCATCAGCATGTCATAAATGAGAAAACCAACGAATAATCCAGTTATTTTTATTACTGTAAATATGAAGGGAGGTATACGGACACAATAGAGTTAGGTACTCTATGAACGATCACTGCTATTCAATGCCTATACCCCTTCAATACGGTTAAACCGGCAGGGAGCGACCTGCTATTCCGCTGACAAACATGACCTCTTTCGCCAATTCGGCAAACCGATATTTAACTGACGATATTGCAGGATCCTCGATTAGCATTGAATTTTATCAGCGATCTCCAGTAAACAGTTATATTCATCCATCGGTAAAACCCACCAGACATATACTGGTTTGAGACTAGTCTTCATCCGCAAGCCATATGTGAGACGACTGATGAATGATCCAGCTATTAGAATATCTTAGACATAAAATGAATGTACTTATTAGATCACGTAAGACCTAGAACTTAATAATACTGTCGTCGTTATTATAAACACATAGTGTATTAACTTAAAGGCAATTCAAAAGTCCACTTTGTAAATATTAAATACTGAAGAACGTCGTTTCATTTTTGTTATATTGAGTAAATCCAATACCAGCAATGTATTCCATCTTTAAATAAGCATTAATGCACATGACAGTTCACAAAAAAATACCGCAAACAAAAAATTATAAACAATAACTCATTTATATTAAATT